GGCCATTCCTGAAATCGATTATTACAACTGTTTCGAAGATTGGAAAATCCGTTGGAATAAGTGTATTATATCAGGGGGGGATTACTTTGAAGGGGACGAAATTGATTTGCAAGAATAAATAAAGAATTTTCGAAATAAATGCAATGTCACCTTACTTTTTGGACACAGTAGTATATATATATATATATATATATATATTTGCTTATTATATATCAAACTACGTTCACTTTTCATGTGATTATTATAAGAAAAATAATAACAAAGACAATGCAATAATAGGAGATTAACGAGCCGATGTCGCGTACATTTTTCTATTATCCGGCACGCGTCGAAGCGTTGTTGTCGCGAACGGCGCTTTCCAATAATTTGAATTACCGGGAAATATGTCGCTAACACACAGTGCACACAATATCGCCGCGAGACATTGTAACAGGCGTTACGCTTCTCAGCCTTAAGGAACACAGTGTCTTCTCGCGATAGACCGTTTAGGTGATAACAAAGTCGTGTTCGGTAGAACGATACGACGATTCGCGTGACTCTAGGCAGATAAGCTCGCAAGAAGCTCAATATCGTCCGTGCATTTTTCTCGCCGTATTCCAATAATAATCGAGAGACGCGTAAATATTTCTCCCTCATAGATAACGGCACTCTCCGTGACGACACGGTTCGCGGTTTCGCGCTCGCCGATAACCGAATAGTGTAACCGTTTCACCCATTTTCGTAACTCGTCTTGTTTTCTAGCCCGACTCTGTTGACTACCGCCGCTTGCTCTCACGTTATCGTCGCGCGAAACTGTCATTGCGAAACGTCCGTAACACCGTCGTCGTGTTAACAGGTAGTTAATGTTGACGTCTCGCGGCAGTTCGCGCCGAGTCAAGCGGTCGCCTGTATATCAACACAATGTGGCGAAAATTACAAAAGTGAGCAAACTTACTACACCGAGAGAAAAAAATATTTACCACTGAGAAGCGGTAAATATTTATTTGGTGGGTAGTTTGATAATAGATTTTGTCTTTTGAGATTCTCTTTTGTCTAAAGCTTTTTTATTTATTTTTATACTGATATAAGATATTTTTTAAACAAGAAAATAAAGATTTTCTTAAAACTTTTTTAGGAAAATTCCAAGCTTTTCACGAAAGCAATTTATCGTTCTATCATTAAATAAAAGAATTTAGATTTAAGTATGCTTATTAAATATGCTATTAAGACTCGTCATATAAATATTTATTCTTTCTTAGATATTTCTTCTCTCAGTGTAGATGTCGACCAATAAAATTGTAAATATTCTAATAAATCCGCCCACTTTTGTCATTTTCACCGAGTTGCGCGCTACACAATCGATCTCCGGAAGTGATTGAGATTTCGGCAAGTTCACTTCTCGCGGAAGAACGGATGGACGGCGAAATTGTATCAATTGAGAATTTCGAACGAATTTTGTTCTAATAGAGTTCGAAACTGAAACTTTGCTGACGTAGAAGTGTGCACAGGCCGGCCGGGAAATCGTGATAAACCGGCGAGAACGCGACTGTACACGTGGCTTCTTCTCGACCCGCCATCTTGCCTTGTCCGCGCTCGTCGATCTCGCAACACCGGCGGATCATCGGCCGCGTTTTCTTCTTCTTCGTTTTCTTTTTTTTCTTTTTTTGCGTTTCTTCTTTTTTTTCGTTCGGTCCGGACTCGACGGTTGCTCAATAATTTTGATTGGTAGGGCAGCGCGCGGATTACCCACCGCGGCGCTCGTTTATGGGAGCGCGTCGAAGTGGTTTTAACGTTCTGGAAGATGGCGGCCGCCCGCGCCCTATCAAGCTCAATGACCTCTCCGAGAAATCGTTTACTTCGCACCGTGGCAAGAGCAGCGTCGGCGACGCGAGAGAACACACGCGAGGGACCGGTTCGTCCGTCCGTTCGTATCTTCGGCGCCGTACGAACGCGCCTTTACGGCTTAATCCACGTTGTCGGATGACGTAAGCGCACGCCTGTCCTCCCCTGCTCTTTAAGGCCCTGCCCACCGATACTTTTTTTTTTATCGGTATACCGTGTAGATGGGCAGTCTTTCAAAGATAAGCCGTTTTACAGTTTTTACGGTTTGCTCCGACTGGCTTGATTTGTAATACTTTCTTGCAAACACTGTGGCTCCTCCCTCTTGCTTTCCCGTAATATGTTTCGGCTTTGGCTTCCTCGTATATCCAATTGAAATGCCTCAATTAAACAATAAACGTGAAATCGATGAGATCGAATCGTAATTGTTGTGATGTTGAAAGAATAAAAGTCAGAAGACGTGAGTTTTTATCGATATATCGTCTAAACGAACAGGGTTGAATAATATTGCTATTTACTGACTAACTTGATTTAACAATATTCTCCCCGGATAAATTTTTTAATTTTTCTACGATTTTTCTCGGCGACGTCTCGTCGTGGAAATACGTGAATTAAAAAACGATGAACGCGAAATCGATAAGATCGTAAGTGCGCAGAAAAAAGTTTGTTTGGACAAACTAATCTCTGGTAAAATATGATTCAAAAATTCCGATTGGAATTATTAGAATTCTGTTTAAGTTAATCAGAAATTTTAATAATCTAGAAATCTTAAAAATTCTAATAACTTCAACCGCGAGATTTCTGAATCGTTCACATATCTCACTAGAGCTTGGTTCATTTAACTTTTTTTCCATATTTATTGAAACAATATTGATCAGAAATTGAAAGGTTTTATCGACATACGTCCAATCGCGCGAACAGATGTTGAATAATAAAATAATTTATAATTAATTGATTGACTTGATTTAGCAATGTTCTATCTAGATACATTTCCGAATCTTTCCGTCTGTCTTCCTACGATTTTTCTCGGCGATGTCTCGTGTACCTGCGTTAAAATGCGCGGTTAGACAACGAGTAATTGCAAGTTTGCGCGAGATCGATGTCATCGAACCATAAATGTATCAGCGTTAAAATAAGAAACAGCGGAAATTGCGGTTTTCCACGACGCCAGACGATATGCATACTGAGCGGTGCGAGTAATGACAACGTGAACGACCGCATTATTCTCGAGAATCGTGCGATTGTTACGTGATAAATCTACGATATATTCCGCGACGTGGCCAATACGTGGAAATTGTCACTGATATTATCTCAGCGCACATTTTATTCCAATGCATCACATCTAGATCACTAAAGAATTCAAACAAAGAAGTTAGCGAGCTTGATACAGTCATAGGAGTGTCGTATTTTGTTTTTCATCATTAATCACTCTCAGTCTCTATCTTTCACTATTAAACGTCATCAATTTCTAACATTCAATGATATAATTGCTTATAAGTTTTACAAAAAAGAAATTTTAACACTACATCAAGATATCAACGGATACGTATATCTAATCCTAGACATTTTTATTATTTAAATACGGATATTTAAACTTTCAACATAGGATATATATAGGATATATATATATATATATATATATATATATATATATATATATATATATATATATATATATATATATATATTTTTT